TTTTAATTAGGAGCTTTTTCAAATTAGCCAATTAACTTTATAAAATTTCACATCTGATTGGGTCCACCCCCTAGCCAATCCATTGTTCCCGAGACTAGACTGACAAGCAAGCACTTTCCTTAGTCACCCTGACTTCACTGAGTATGCACCCATCTCCCCCGTTGTTCAATCCCTTCCCCAGTGATCTGCAGGGAATGGACTGGTGGTTCCCTGAGGAGAGTGAAGCTGTAGCTTCCTGGTGAAGCGCCCAGATGACCATGTTTACAATGCCTGGCCTCCTCTTTGCTCTCTTCCAATTATTAATATTAATAAACTAGCTAATTATGACAATAACAAAAGGAGAAATGTTTAAATTAATCAAAAACATAACCTCAAATTAACACAGTTAGAAGGTGTTGGAACTGAAAACAACTCCCCAATCAGTCTAATTCCTCATAGCTTATGTTCTTAATCAGTCTATGAATAACTCCATCTCCTTCATCCTTTTCTGCATTCACCAAGTTATGTTAAGTTTCTAATATTTGTATTTTAAAATTTTATCATGAATCCACACAAGAAGTGTTCTGGACCAAAGACACATTTTACAGTGAATGTGTGTCACTTCCTGTTTGCCTCAGGTCTTACCCCTGGGGTGATGCAATAAAAGACACATCAACTGTCCTACTCCAGTAGCCAAATGGGGGGTGGGGGGGAAAATCAGTGGGGGTTATCTCTGCTTATAAAGGGGAAGGAAGGAGACCTTTGCCCTATATTCCTCTCCAGAAAGGGTCTCCTTGGAAGCACAACAGGCCTAATTCTAACTCCCAACCCTTTGGAGTAAATTAATCTCTTCAAGAGCCACATAGCCCCCAGTCTCACTTTTATGACCTATAGATGTTTCTAAATTCTGTGCTTTATCTTTTTTGACATGTAAATACTTTGAGAGATAGCATTTGTCAACATAAAACCAAGGTCCTTGGCACCAATTAAACACCAACAGGAACCTCCAATTTGAGGTGTGGTGAAGAAGGAAAATTTATTCAGTGCAAACAGCTCAGTTATGATACAGCAGGGCTGTGAGCATAGCTCAGCTGTGGAACAGCTCAATAATGTCACAGCTTAATTATGAAGCAGCACAGAATGATTGTGAGGAGGCCCTGGGGCTGTGAGGGCCCTGGGATTGGGACTCCTGTTCAGCTATAGAGCTTTGCTCTGATCCACCTGCTCCAGTTTGGTGCTGGACTGCTCCTCTCTGGCAAGGGAAAAGCAATCTTCTGTTTTCTATGGAAAGGAAAAGTGTGTTTCTGGAGCTAGAGGGGACCTAACTAATCAAGACAGAAGTATTCACCCTTGAACCTGATTGCAAATAAAGTCTCCAAATCGTCACTGTTTGATTGGCCCAAAAAGCACCGTCCTGATTGGTCATAATGGAGCTGCTCCAATTGATTGGCGAAGATGCTGATGGGGCTGGATCTGCACAGCTCTCACTGAACAAGGAATGTCTCCATCCTATTGGTTGAAATACAATTCTAAAAGTTACTTTGTAAGGGCTGGCTCAGATGGCAGGGACATAACATAGGCAGGCAGCTCCGTGAAGGGTTCTCCCTAAAGTGCTGGTTTGCACGAGAGGCCCCTGTTTAGAAATGGCTGCTAAACTCTGCTTGTAAATTTGAGCCCAGTTGGCCTGTAGGAGCCCTGTGAATCTTTTTTCACAGGGTCCACACATTCCAGTCTCCCCAGCACCTTGGGGCTTAACCTGAGACATAGTACTGTAGTGGACAGACAGGCAGAGTAGGACAGATAGGCCAGGTACTCAAGGTCACCAGGGTGGATCTAGAAACTGGCAAACTGGAGTGGGTCCTCACCCCCCTCCCCACCCCAGGGTGACCTTTCCTCCCTTAGCATATATAGCCATGTGGTTTAGAACCCCCTGACCTTTCCTCCCCTAACATGTCACTAATCATGCTGTAGACACCCTTAGAGGAGGAACAAGGAGGCTGAAGAAAAGCATCGTAGGACTCCGATACAAGCCCTTGCATCACCACTTCCTTAAGCATTAAACTCTCAGGTCAATGAGGTTCTGGCCCACATCAAATAATTTTAAGAACAAAGCCTTGGGTCTGTTGACCACAGAGACAGAGTTTTGGTCAAACTAGAGATAACATCTAGGCCTCAGTTGTGTTTCAGCTCCAGGCCCAAAAAAGCAGCAAGGCCAGGTCGGGCAAGGCCATGGCTGACATCAGGACCAGCTGTGATGACTAATGACCCCCTGTCCTGGTGCCAACAAATCAGTGAAGACCACAACCCTGAGGGGAAACACCAGGAAAGCTGATGAATATTCTACTGAGATTCTCCCCTGAGACTTCCCATAAAATCTTCACCTTTAAAACCCTCAAGACAAAGGACACAGCCCCCCCCCCCCCCCCCCCCCCCCCGCCCTCTCTTTTCTCTCTCTCTCTCACACACACACACACACACACACACACCTGTGCCTTTCCCCCTCTTTCTCCCAGGCTTGTTTTCTTTGCCTTTTTTTTTCTCCTAAGCTCCAAGGGCCCTTTTTTTGCTTCTGTAATTGTTTCTTCAGCCCACACAGCACAACTGGCTCACTTATTCCATGGCTCACTTCTGCCTCTGTGACTTTCTAAATAAACTTTTTCTTGTATTTGAGTCTTGCCTCTGAATTCTTTCTTAGCCCAAAGTCAAGGACAGAGGTCTAACATCTGGTGCCCATTCACCATTAACAGTCCTAGAGGTAACCAATGGGTCCTTGTGGGAGAGATTACAGAAGTTTTATGATCTGTTAGGATCAGAGCAATTAACTGGACAAATAGCTACAGATTTAGTACTCATGGTATGTGAAGAAGCTAGGACTTTTCACAAGAACACTGAGGAATCCAAGGAAGTTTTATTTCCCACAGTGCTGGCATTTATGGAGCTTCCAGAACGGTTTGCATTTGTTCACCTCCATCCAATTTACAAATTGCTTTTCCATCTTATCTCATAAATCTGAGAAAATACCATTGCATTTATGAGGAAACTATTATAATGAATTTTCAGGGAAGAACATGGAGGCTCAGAGTAGCTGTACCCAGATGTTCAGGACTGTTATGCCCAGATTTCAGGATCCCCATGAAACCACATCAGGGAGCCAGCCAGTCTGATGTAAAAGCATAAGAGTCTTTATTCGAGCTAGCTCGGCTCCCCGACCTTGCCGACACAGCAACGGGAAGCAGAGAGAGATAACTCTGTGTGGAGACGGGTTTTATAGGTGGGGGTTGGAGTAAGGGGAGGAGAAAGGACTGTGCTCTGCCGATTGGCCAGGAGCAAGTCGGTGTCTTGTTCCTGGGTGTGGCTAGCAGAGGCTTAGACTTCCGGGAAGGAGCTCCTTGCCAAGCAGTGGCCAAGGTAAGATGGAGGGCGTAGCCCTTACCCTGGGGCAAGATGGAGGGCATAGCCCTCGCCCTTTCAAGGACAAGCTTGGTCATGCACCCACCATCTTCCTCCTACTAAAAGTTATCAAGGAACACAGGAAAGGTGCTGAGTCAGAGACAAGCACACACCCTCGCTAGCCCTCCCGCTTATGCACAAACTGCCCTCCTTTTCCAGGTGACTCTGATCTTTCCTTTCCCCTATCATTAGATGCCAGCCTGTGTGTCTGCTGTGAAAGCTAGATGTGTTCCTGCCATCCTGGGGCAATGTAAATTCAAATTTACAGGTTTAGAAACATTTAAACCATTACTGTGTCTGTGAGTCACCGGAACAGCGTTATACTTGTGACTGTTATCTTTCCATGAAGGCTAGGAAATGAAGCCCTTCTCTATTAGCCCATTTACCTAGAGGAAGTACTCCACCACTTGCTTTAATCTACTTTTCCCCCTGCATTGCACAAATTATTTGAGTTCTGAGGGAGAATCTGTTAGCGGTGGAAAAATAGCACCAGGTGTTAACTCAGTTCAGCAACCACAGTTGTTGAGTTCTGGCTAAGAGAAGAATTCAGAGCCAAGACTCAAGTTTACTTAAAAAGTCAAAGAGGTCAAGAAAGTGGGCCACAGAAGAAATGGGCTTGGGAAACAAGTTACAACAAAAGAAGGGCCTTTAGAGCTTATGGGGGGGGGGGGGGGGGGAAAGGGGGGGAGAGAGAGAGAGAGAGAGAGAGAGAGATCAGTCCTGGGGAAAGAAGGGAGTGGGGAGAGGAGAAAGGCAAGTGTGTGCTCCACAGAGAGAGCCACTCTGGGTCGTGCATCTTGAGGGCCTTTATCTAAGATCTCAGGGGAGGATCTCAATAGAATATTCATCAGCTTTCCTGGTGTGTCTCCACAGGGTCATGGTCTCCACTGGTTGGTCAGTGCTGAGGTGGTGGTGGTGCTGGGGGCATTGGTCATTGCAACTGGTCCTGAGGTCACCAAGGCTTGCTCAGCCTGGTTTTGCTGTTTTTCTGGGCCTGGAGCGAGTCCAGAATTTCCCAGGCCCAGGGATTCATGCTTAAGGGAATGGTCTTATAAGGGCTTACAGTTTGCCAGTTGCTGGGCACCCGGGGCTCTCATGCTGGTAACCCACTGCACCTGGCCCATCGTTCCTGCTCTACTCAGACCTATCGACCTGCCTACTACAAATCCACTTGTCCACTTAGCTTCCAGCTTCATTAAGAGGGAAACGGATGTATAATTGTTTGAAAAACAACTTAACATATTCATTTCAATGAGAGCTCTTTTAAAATGTGTATAAACATTTGAAATACTTTAAACAACTAGGTCCTAGCTGCTAGGATTAAGTAATAGATTGTTTATACTAAAATAAAATAAACCTTTTATGTAAAACAGGGATTCTCAAGGTGAGGTCCTGCAGGACTTTCAAAATGTATCAAATACGCTTTCATGAACAGGAGTGAAACTAAGAGAGAGACGTGCCAACCAATGTCAGCCGTGTAGTGGGTGTGAGCTACAGTCTATTATAAATTTACAACACTTGGGTATTCAGGAGGAACAAGACGTCAAGATATTAAGACAAACCAAAGCAAGAAGTTTCTGTAAAAAGCTTTATTTTCATCTTATTTGTAAAAATACATCTATAAATATTTAACTTCTCTATTCCAAGATATAGAGAAACAATACATAATTGGCACTGAACAAGGCATTATGCCTTACTAGGCAGACATAAAATGTCCAAGGGATATTTAGAACATTAGTTCCTTCAATATCAGAAATGTTGACCACATACTGTGAAACGGTTTCAATAAATAACAACTGACATTCTTCTCAACAGTACAAAAACAGATGTACACAGAACATTTCCCTGCCTTCACTGTGACCTATTTGCTTGAAACCCCCACTATTTATCTTCAGCCTTCATCATAGTGGGTGGAAACGTGTGGTCTCCCACCCACCCACCCAGCCGACTAAAAATATTAGCTGAGTGAAGAACATTTAAAATGCATCATCGTCAATTAAATAACAGGCTGAACTAGCTTTTTGATTTGACATAAAAATGACCATTTAAAATAACGGTACAGCAAATTACCAAACACTTTCCTGTCTTTAAATATTAGATAAAACTTTGAAAAATAAATACATTCGTATGTAAATAAATAGAAGAACTCTCATAAAAAACAGTCAAACAATTTAAACACAGGTAGCCCCAGGAGCTCTTTGTTTCTCTTCTTTCACTCCGATTCCACTCAGGATGCAACAATAAACCTGGAAGTTTCCTCCTTCTCCCTAGATCAGTTGGTGCTGCTCCTGTGATGAGAAAAATGGTTGCTTATTAGGACTCAGAAACTTAACTGCTTAGCCCTGTACCAAATGGTTACTAGCTGTACCCCTGCCACCCTGTGTGGTAGAAAATGCCAGGCTACTGGATGCTGTTTAATTAGGAATAAGGGACCTGTGGTCATAATTGTATTATTAGCTTCAAGGAGCCAGAAAACAATGTTACACTAAAAAAGTACATGCATAACATCACTTCAGCCTCATAGCAAACCCCATGAAGTAGATGTTATCATTTCCCCCATATAACGGAGACTCTGAGAGATTAAATACTTTCTCCCTGCCTACAGGAATAGCAAAAGTAGCCTACACTTACATTTGGAGCAGAGGATCACTGCAAAGTCCCTTGTCATCACCACTAAGATTTAGAAGCCCATGTTGCCCCAAATCAGGGGGTTCCACTTTTCCGTTCTAAAGCGACCTACATTAACAGTGTTGTTCCTTAATGGGTAGGAAGCATTTGAGATCATTGACCAAATCCACCTAATCTTTTAGGAAGACATATTCACCCACACTCATTTGAAAGGGAATGGAGAGGGGGATGGTAGTGGAGGGCACTGGAAATGGCCTGTGCCACCAGAGCACATTCATGACAGTGGTGGCAAATCTAACTGTGAAATAATGACTTTTCACTCCTTCAGCTACCCCCTGGGCTTCCCTGATATAGTTTTCAGGAGGCAGAGGCCAATATCTGTCACAAAGGACTCTAGTCACATAACTCACTTGTTTAACAGCTTGTTCACGAATTTCTTAACCAGGGGAGATGCGGGGTTGAGACAAACTTTCTGTCCATTCTTGAGAGTGGCTCTGCAGACAGAAGGGAGAACACAAGTGAGACAGGAGGGCGGGCGAGGGTCAGGGTGGGGGCATCTGGGCGGTGGAGGTGACCAGGATGGTGGCAGCAGCAGAGCATGGTGGCACTTACATCAGACAGAAGGAACACAAGTGAGACAGGAGGGCGGGCGAGGGTCAGGGTGGGGGCATCTGGGCGGTGGAGGTGACCAGGATGGTGGCAGCAGCAGAGCATGGTGGCACTTACATGACTTCTGTTCGGTCGCAGTGAGATGCTGGGGACGTCACCTTCACACTCTGGATGTTCCTGGGGTGAATTCCCTTCATGGTCTGCATGCACTGGCAGCGCAGTTCAGTGACCACGGGCTCCTCTGCGGGGACCATAGGCGCCGCTGCAGGGAGAACAGGCTCGGTTAGCGGGATGCCCCCAATGGGCGCCCACCCTTCATCCCCTTCTTCCCCCTTGGGCTCCCAGGGCTCGAGTCTCACCTGCAGCTTGCCGGCAGGCGGCGACCAGGAGCAGGAGCAGGAGCGCGGCCCGGAGGAACCGGGGAGCGCGGGGTGCAGCAGCGGTGGTGGCGGTGCGGGCCATGGGGCTGAGCTCGGAGGATCGGTGCTGCGGTGCCTGGAGTGTGAGAGTTGTCAGGAGAGCTGGTAGAGCGAGATCTGTGGCTCCCCGAGACGGGCGAACCCCTTTTATCCATGCTCGAGGCGGAAAGCTAGCAACCCAGGGCTTGGGAAATTCCGGGACTTTGCAGGTCGTTCCGGGTCGCAGGGGGCGGGAAGGAGGGGTGGTTGAGGGAGGAGGACCCGGGGGTGCGGCCCCGCCTGGCCTCCCCAGGGACTTGGCGGACTCAGCGAGGTTCTCTTTCCGCCCAAATCCCCAAAGCGGGAGCGAGTCGCTTAGTAAGAGCGATGTCACTTATTAGCGGAGACAGGCACCCATGGGGAACGTTAATCTAATAGCAACATTTCAAAAGAATGTGTGGAGGGGAAACAACTGAATTTTCCCCGTTACGCAGGCCTAAATATCTTCTGGCTTGACGATTTTATTTCCCTTTGCATAAAGGCACTCTTAAAATAGAGCTGTCATCGCAGATTATACAGAAGGTTATACATAAACTTGTTCATCTGGTATTGTACAAGCACAAATAAGTTACACTTTGTGTTATTTCAGCGGTGAGGGGATGACCAGTGTCAAAAGTTTAACTCAGTGTTTAATCTAGGACAAAGTGTCCTAATCCTATACAGTTTCCTTTCTCTGTGAAATTCTGGAACTTCCAGAGAGATCGTGCCACCTCTTGTGCTTAGAGGGCGTTGATTAATCCAGGAACTAGGAGCTGGTTATTTTGGAGCTGCTGGGGGAGGGAAGGTTGCCTTGGGCTCAGGGGGTCCACAGTTTCTAGTTTTGTCCAAACCCACCAAAAAGTCAAAGGGATCACAGCTAGTCTTTCCTTCTGTTTCTACAGTAAAGGCATCCTGATGATCCCAGCCATCCATAATTGCTTAATTCATGTCAATGATCTCTGAGCACCATCCAGTATATCAAATTTGGGCATTATTCTGAGGCTTTTAAAATAATGGATTTCAATATAAATTTTCTCCTTCCATTTACTTAAGATTTGTTTAAAACTTTTGTGGAAGTAGTAATGAGTAATTGCATTACATATAATATAAACTAAAGAAAAAAGGAATGCCAACATTACAAAAGAATATCAAGAAATAGACATAGGAAATGAGGAAATGTCTTCATGGAAATATTCTTTATCACAGTATGAAAACAGCATGATGACCCTGTTTTGATGCTTCCTGTATAACGAAAGCAAAATTTGGGAAGTTGAGAGATGAATGATAAACGACAGCAAACATATCACATGCTATGAAATATGCTTAAATATTTCAACATTTTGAAATATGTTGATACACTTTTTATGGTCCATATAGTCTCTTTTCTAAAATGTTCCCTGTGTTTGTGGGGGAAAAAGGTGATTTATGCAATTATTGGGTGAAGTGTCTTTATACATCGCTCAGGCCAAGTTGGTTGATCATGTTGCTTAACACTTCTATATTGTTATTGATTCTTTATTGTTTTGCCTATTAAGTATTTAAAGAGGTTTGCTAGAATCTTTAACTATGGTCAAGGTTTCATCTATTGCTCCTTTTAGTTTCTCTCCATTTGCTTCATATATATTTTTAAAATTTTTAAAAATATATTTTTATTGATTTTAGAGAAGAAGGTAGAGGGATTTATAATATAATATATTTTAAATATATTAACCTAATCCTCTAAGAGGGAGATAGAAACATCAATGATGAGAGAGAACCATCGATCTCCCACAGTGGGCATCTAGCCCTAAACCTGGGCATCAAACCCTGATCTCCTGGTTCACATGTTGACCCTCAACCACTGAGCAATGCTGGCCTACATCATATATTTTAATAAATGGTATTAGGTTCATAAACTTTTAGAATTATTTGTTTCTTATAAAATTGCCCCTTTTTTATTTTGAATCATCTTTCTTTATCTCTAAGTCTACTTCTTTCTTTGTCCTAATATATTAATCAGGCTTTCATTAATATATAAATTAGCCAAAATGTTAATAATTTATTTCAATAATAGATTAACAATTAACAAGTAATTAATACATTAGTAAATTTATACTAGGTTTCTGTCAGTTTTAGCATGATATAACACTCAATTCTTTTAATTTCAAGTTGTCTGGGATCTAATATTTAAAGGGTGCCTTTTTATGCAGCATACTTTTTTGTCATGTTTTTGTAGTCTGTATTTAAAAAGTAAAACAAATTTCAATTTTAATTGGAATGTTTGTTCCATTTAAATTATTTTAATTTTTACCATAGTTGGATTTCAGTCTACTGTCTTGCTATTCTATCTGTCCTGTCTTTTTAAAAACAAACTTTAAATTTGAATAACTTCAGTTTATGAAAAAAATGTATGATTATAATTTATTTATCAAAGGTGGGTGGTTAACATTGGTACATTGTTATTAACTAAACTCTAGTCTCTTACTAAGATTTCACAAAATTTCCATTGATGTCCTTTTCCTATTCCGGGATCCAATCCAGCATACCATATTGGATTTAGTCACCATGTCTCCTTTGTCCCCTCGGATCTGTGACAGAGTCTCAGTATTGTCTTGTTTTTCATGACTGACAGTTTCAAAGAATACTTATTAGGGATTTTGTAGAATGGTCCTCAGTTTGGCTTTTTATGATGATTTTCTGATTATCATACTGAGGTTATAGGTTTGGGGAAGAATATCATGGAGATGAAGAGCCCCCCTCTTCACATCATGTGGGGGAGTACATAGATTCCCATAACACAACTGGTGATAATAATCTCGATCACATGGCTAAGGTGGTATCTGCCAAATTCTCCACTGTAAGTGACGTTATTGTTTTTCCTTTTTTTCTAATCTCTTCTTTGGAAGCAAATCACAAAGCCTGGCCCCCACACACAGGGGAAATTACTAGTAAGTCCCACTTTCACAAGGAGAGACACTACTTACATTATGTATGAGGCTTCTTCACAAAGATTTGTCCTTTCTCTCTTGCACCATCTGTTGTTTTGCTCCTTTATTTCTTCGTTTCTGACACCTTTTATAATATTCAGGTATTTTCTTATTTTCCATTGTATCTCCTTTTTAGATTTTTATTTCCAAAGTTTTGCATTTCCTTTTGAGAGGTTGCCCTAAAAATGCCGATATATCTTGCCACATTTCAATTTTCCTAAACTTAATGCTTTTCTCTAACAATTGAAGAAATATATTATAAATCCATTCATCTCCCTATCTGCCCTTTGTGTTATTTTTGTCATGTATTTTACTTTAGAGTGTGTTTTACCTCCATAGATAAGAATGGTTATAAATATTGTAAATAACACAAATTGTTTGAGTGTTTAGGAGGAATCTACTTTTTCACCTTTTGTGCCCAGCCTCATTAAAAAGGAAAAATTGCATACTTGTTTGAAAAACCACTTGCCAAAAGCATTTAATAGGAGCCCTTGTTAAGATATTTATATAAACATTCAGAAGTTTGTAAAGCACTAATTTTAAATAATGAACTGACCAGTGTGAAAAACAGCTGAATTTATGTAAAACTAGGCTTCTCAGGTAGGTGGGGAAGGTAGTGTGTCAAATATTCCTTCATAAGTTAGAGAAATGTAAGGGAAGGAACAGGCAGGAATAGGCTTAAAGTTAGGCATGACCTACAATCCAACTGTACAACACCTTGGGCATCCGGCGGGGAACCAAAGGTCAAGAAGAATAAAACAAAACTTAAACATGTTCTATTTTGTAAAACTTTTATTTTTAAGCCATTTGTAAAAATGTAACAGTAGTTTTAACTTCTCTGTTCTAAGACAAAGAGAGACATTGCATAATAACATTAACCAAGGCATTGTGCCTTACAATAAGACAAAGAGAGATATTGCATAATAACATTAAACAAGGCATTATGCCTTACAAGCAAGACATAAAATGTCCAAAGGAATCTTCAACATCAAAATGTTGACTGCGTAATAAAATAGTTTCAATAAATAACAAGTGACATTCTTTTAAACAAGTACAAAAACAGATGTGCACACACTTTCCCTGACCCCAATATTGATCTATCTCATTGTCAAATTGCTTAGATTCCCCCCTCCCACACACCCCCCTCCACTTAATGGTCTCCCAATAAATATTAGTTTCATGAGACACTTAAAACCCCTCATCTTCAAATTAAATAACAATCAGAACTGAGTTATGTTTGATTAAATACATTCACATGTTCCACACCTTTAAATACTAACATTAAAATGTTAAAATACAAGCTTTTAAAATAAATACATACATAAATAAATAGATCTCTGGTTTAAAAAACAACAAACACAATAATCCCTTTCTAGTTGTCTATGGAACCCAGCTGTTCCCATCTTCATTTCAGTCCTGTAAGAGCAGGGACCTCCTTTCAGGAACTGCCACCATGAGCTTCTCTCTCAGTTGGTGTTGCCCCTAAGGTGAGAAAAGGGTTATTGTTACAGGTGTTACAGAAAGCCGCTCTTCTCTCCCAGGGCCCCTGGAGCTGGAGGAATGGCTGCCTGCAGACCCTGGCCAAACCCTGCACCCAGAAGGCCCCACTGTGTCTTCTACCCTGCACAGCAGACAGCTTGCTCCTTTATGAGGAAATGGGATTGTGGACTCAACTTTATTATGTCATACTGGGCTAAAAATGTACATGCATGACTCCACTTAATCCTCATACAGTACATTTTCCCCGAGGCTCAAAGGGATTAAAAAACTTTCCCAGAGATTTTAGACTTGACCTTAGGGTGGTCTTGCTGCCATGTCCCTGCTCTTCACCACTTAACTGCCCAGGCCCATGTTGTCTCAAACCCTGGGTTCCACTTTTCAGTGTGAAAACAGATGAATTTTATGTAAAACTAGGTTTCTCAGGTAGGTGTGGAGGGTAGAGTGTCAACTATTCCTTCATGAGTTAGAGAAACGGAGGGGAAGAAACAGGCAGGAGTAGGCTTAAAGTTAGGCATGATCGCCCTGGCCATTCAGCAGGGACCCAAAAGATCAAGAAGAATAAAGCAAAATTTAAACATGTTATGGTCCTTAATGGGTAAGAGGCCGTTTAGCATCATTGGCTGAATCTATTTAGCCTTATAGGACTACACATTCAC